CCTTCTGCCTGAAATAGGAGATAGGATATGAGAGTCCTTATGCTTTTAAGTTTATCTCCTTAGATTATAAACGTGGATACATTTAACACTGGCAGGAGAATGACATGCCTTCTCTAGTCTGCCGTCTCTCCTCTGGATCTGAATGAAAGCTCCACCCAGATATCCATTCATCCTATATCATTGAAAAAAACTGAAATATTTCACTGCTCCACACACAATCTTACCTTAGCATTCTGATCACTGAAAGTGGATTTCACTGCCTTCACAATCAGAAAGTTTTTAACTCTTGTCTCGGGCACTGAAAGATAAGGAGAGGTGTACAGTACTTCTTTGATCCACTCACTCACTTTCCACATTGGAATTAATCCTGGATTTCAAAGGGCCCTATTTAAGAATAGTACCGAACTTCTCTCATCTACAGAATCAGTGGGAAAAACAGGACCAGACTCTGGTCTCAGTTACACCAGTGTAAATCTAAAGTAATTCCATTTCTATAAAGAGTGCCATCACACTACCATGATGGAAATATTATAAAAGCGTTAGATAGACTGAGGTCACTGAAGTTAATCTGTGTTTACACCAGTAAAACAGAACTCAGAATCTAATCTATAGTGTATAATACTGACGAATATCGAGTCAGGAGTCCTATTTTATTTTTATCTGATGATTGTTAACATGCATTAGCCCCAAGTTAACTTCTGTATTTGAAGTTGAAAAATATCTTGGGCTACATTCAGCACTTAGTTGAACCTGTTGATTTCTGGGTGGCCATAGGTGGGTAACTTAGGGCAGCATTTGGTCCCTTAGTGCAGATCCAAACCACTGGTGACTGTGTGTTATAGAGACTCTGTGCCCCATTTGCAGAGGCGATGAGTCTGTTACAGCCCTGCCGTGCCTACAAAGCCTTGGTTCTTTAGCTCAATCTATAGTAGCTCATGCTTTTAGCTCTGGATCAGGGCCGGCTTTAGGCCGATTCCCCCGATTCTCCTGAATCGGGCCCCGTGCCTAAGAGAGCCCCGCACCCCACGCCTAACAGGGCCCCGTGCCCAGTGGCCTTTTTAATTTTTACTCACCGAGCGGCGCTTCGGGTCTTTGGCGGCACTTCGGCGGCGGGTCCTTCACTCCCTCCGGCTCTTCGGCGGCACATGAAGGAGCCGCCGCCGAAGTGCCGCTGAAGACCCGGAGCGAGTGAAGGACCCGCCGCCGAAGACTCAGAGGGCGACCTGGTGAGTACAAGCCCCACGAATCGGGCCCAGCACTTCCTAAAGCCGGCCCTGCTCTGGATGTCCTCAACTCAACCCTCAGCATGTCAGCCAATAGGGCAGCTGGCACAGTTCCTCCTGTGTTACTTACAGTCGGCACCAACAATAGCACTGAGCAGATTCAAAGAGGCCACACGAACAGCCTCATTCTCAATCTCCAGCTGCGAGAGCAGAAATGCGATCAGATCATCAGGAGAAGAATGGGCTGCAAGGGAACAAATCACGTCCTCACTGACAACAGAACTCTTATTCTTACCAAACCTGACAAAGGAAGTTACAAGGAAACCACTGTGTAACTCAGAGTCTCTTCCCCTTACCTAGCAGAACTACACAATCCAACAGCTTTGCGTGATTTTCGGTGCTGAGCGGCTTAGCTTGAGAACAGATCTGTGGGAAGAAGGGAAATGGTCAAAGAAAAACTAATCAGAAGCAATTGAAAAGAAAATGTTCAATGAATTTCTAAGCTTCCACTTCCTACTTGTCCAGCTAGAGGTCTGAACCCCAGGTAGATGGTACTGAATGCACAGCAAGAATCAAACACAATGACCAATACATTCGATAAGAGAAGCTAAAGGGTTTTGAGCAGCAGAGCTGATCTAATCACGACACAGCCACAGATTTTACTAGACAACTCTGACTCCCCCTGATAATAGGCTTATGGTGAAATAGCTTTACAAACGGAGCTGGATATTAGCTAAGAAAATGAGTCCGCTACCTGCTTACTCCTGAGCCTACAGAAATCAGTAAGGCATGAGGAGGTGCCCAGGCTCTGCACTATCATTCGATAGATTTTTATTGTTAATATGCTTCAGATCTGCTGTGCCTAAGCTCAAGGGATCCAAGCAAAACCACCCCTCACCTGGTTGTGCAGAGCACTGCAGATGGCTTGAAACTTCTCTTTAGGTAGAGGGATCTCATGTTCACAAGAGACCTCCAAGATCTGGCTCAGACTCTGCAACAGAGGGTGAAAGTCAGATGGTGGCACACACAGGAGCAATATGTAGTGACTGACGCAGCTTCAGGGGATTCGTAGATTCCAAGGCTGGAACGGATTATTGCCATTGTCTAGTCTGACCTCCGGTACAACACAGGCCATAGACCTTGCCCAGAATAATTCCCAGAGCAGAGCTTTTAGAAAAACATCCCAATCTCAATTTAAAAACTGTCAGTGAGGGAGAATCCGCCTCGGCCCTTGGTAAATGGTTCTAATGGTTAATTATCTCACCATTTAAAATGTACGCCATATTTCCAGTCTGAATGTGTCTAGCTTCAGTTTCTAGCCATTGGATCAAGTTACACCTTTCTCTGCTAGACTGAAGAGCCCATTATAAAACATGAGTCCCTCGTGTAAGATATTATAGACTGTAATTAAGTCACCCTGTTACAGGACAGGTCCACCCCGTCAGGTTGGTACCAGATTGTGGAGGAATTGAAGTAGATCTGGGGCGGCCCCACTGGCCTAGTCTCCCTAGTCACCGCAGCAGTCCTGGCTCCTAGGGCAGCATAGCCTAATGGTCGGGATCAGTGCAGCAGCCCTTCGGTGAGGGTCCACGGCCCAACAGCACGAGTCACTAGAGCTGCCCTTCTAGGTATGGCAGTGCGGCCTAGTGGCCAAAGTCAATAGAACCACCTCTCGCGGTAGGGCAGTGCAGCCTAGTGGCCAGAGACAATGGAACCGCCCTTGGCAGCAGGGCAATGCGGCCTAGTGGCCAGAGTCAATGGAACCGCCCTTGGCAGCAGGGCAATGCGGCCTAGTGGCCAGAGTCAGTAGAACCACCTTTTGCAGCAAGGAAGTGTTGCCTAGGTCAGCCCTTCTCCACTGGCTCCTACCTATTCCACAGGTCCCAGCCCAGGGCCCTGTCTTGCCGCAGGGGTATCTGCCTCCAACTCAGCGGGGATCCTTCCAAAACATGCCGAGTCAAAGCCTGGTACCTCAACTGGA